ACCCCCCAGGGGGGATGGCCATGCCGAAATCCCTTCTCCTCCATTCTCCTCTCGGGATCCTGGGCAAGCACGCACACACCCAGTGTGAGTTTTAAGCCACCGGGTCTGGGACGCAAACCGTGGTCGACTACGTGGGAGTCCAGTGGCGACACAGCCATTATGCTAACTGCTGGTCCCAGACTCCTCAGTTCGTGAGTCTCAGAAAAAGTCATTGTTCATTTACCCATTCCTTCACAAAATACTAAGAATTGATCATTTGTCTCAAACTGCTTAGTGGATTTCCACTGTTGTGATTCGGATCACGGATGGCTTTGAGAACAGCGGTGACATATTCCCAGGGCTTACTCAGGGGAACCTGCCTCTGACCCCCTCACACAGTGCACTGGCAAGCATGAAGGGGCAGACGGCTGTCAACAGTGCCTGTGCAGGTGTTTGACCAGGCATGCCTTCCATATTACTCTTTCAGTCTCAAACCCCCTGAGCTTATCTCCCTGTTTCTTTTTCCATGATTTCATACCTGGTTTTTTGAACGCTGCTCTGCTCCTCCTGGTTTGTTGACTTACTGGGGCTTTTAGAAACCTCAGCTCATTTTGACTCAGATTTTATCTAGGTAGGTTGCTTTGACTTCAGTGTCTGCTGAAGCTTTGAGTCAAAGACAATCCAGTCAGTTCTACTCAGGTGTGGCCATCCGCCCTGAGGCGGTACTTTCTCATTTTCCATTTCTCTCTCTCTCTCTGGTGAGTACACATGCCCTATAGCAAAAGTTAAATATTTGAAAAGCTGAAATATTTGATTTTTCCTATTTTTTTCAAATAATGAAAAATTTAAGAATTCATTAACATGAACTTAATTGTTAAAAAAAAAAAGAAAGAAAAAATTACCTACTTTAGGGGCCAGCAGGTAGAGTAATGGTTAAAGCACTGGTTTCCCATATGGCAGACTATGGTTCGAGTCCTGGACCCAATGGATTGAAAATCATACTGGGCACATGTCCGTGCCCTAAATCCCAGGAGGAGAATGGAGGGAAAGGGATTGTGGTGTGGCCATCCCTCCAGGGGAGTGAGTTCTCACTTTCCCTCTCATTGCCTCTCCCCAGCAGGGAGCACTTGAGCCTTATGGCAAAAATCTTAAAAGAAAAACAAACAAAAAACCCTACTTAAACAAACAAACAAAAAATCTCGGAATTTTTCTGCCTATCAGCAAATATGTGAACGTATTTACATATGTACCTAGTTTTGTGGCAGGTCAGAACACAAATGGCACACTCAATAAATGTGGGTATTTTTCTAAATCAAGGATCAATGGTGTTTTGTGGCCGTCAGATATGCCAACATGCTTCTTATTTAGCAAAGCCAACATTTTCCTACGAGAAGCTGCAGGCACTAGCGCTGGTTTTGACAGTTTTTTTTTTTTTTTTTTTAAATAATAGTCTACGTTTTCAAGCAAAAATGATTCCAATGCTTGTTATTCTCTAAATGTGCTCAGTCCCACATGGAATTTGGCTCTGTACACAGTCACTCCCTTAATTGCATTTATGTTTGATATATCAAACAGTTCTCAGATCTGTCAACCTGTGAGCTTGAAGAAAAGCTCCCTTGAAAGCATATTTCAGTTTCATACAAATCTCCAAGGACCAAATTCAGCCTTATCCAATCCAAGCTGCTGTTTCCATGCCTTCCTTTGGTGGTTGTTCTTATTTATCTCACTTACTTTAAAAATGTCTTGCTTTTCCCTAAGCATCCCTAGCATATTCAGTGGCTTTCTTAACTATTAGTGTGGATACTCAGACAGTACCGTATTTGGTACAATTCGTATGATGACATCTGAGGCACCTTTTTGTACACGTAAGGGAAAGAAAACACAATTTAGGTCAAAAGCCCCCATTTTCCTAAAGTATTGGGAGTTTTCATTTTCCCTGTTATGTAAAACACCATGTAAGCAAGGGGATGAATATTTTACATAGGTGCTTCATATAGTAGTAACACTTTCACTTCCTAACATTTGAGGTTATCAGTGTCTCATGAACGTCAATGACTGGATGCCATATTGCCATCTGTCTTGGCCAATACTGATCATCAAATCACAGTTGGTAGCCTTTCTTTTTTTTAAGTACATCACACTCACAGATTCGCAGGTCCCTATTCTCCCTAGAAATCACTACCAGTCATAAAGAGGTGAGCATGCTTATTAGAAACACGGATTAAATATTCACATAAACATTTTGGGGACAAACGCTAAGGGCATGGAAGAAAGAGCATAAAGTCTTTACGTCATGGCTCCAGGGCTGGAAGTTTAGGAGCTGAGATCATTGTTATTAACTTCACGGTCAGTTACATAACTGCCAGTAATCTCAGTATTTGACCGTGTGGTGGTGGTTGGAGCAACCTGTCAGGAGATTTCAAAAATCTGTAAAAATTGAAACAATCAAAATTACCAGCTAGACAGTGCAGTGGCCAAACTTGCTGGGTGCGCTATAGGTTGAGTATAAAACCCAAATAATTCCTTAGTTCCT